TGTGTGGGGTGCTGTGTGGGGTGCTGTGTGGGGTGCTGTGTGGGGTGCTGTGTGGGGTATTGCCGTTCCCAGCACAATGCTGCACGAATGTGTTCCGACCCAGTGCCACAGTGATATCCCACAATGCAATTTGGGCCAATTGCATTGTTGCAGTGATAAATACTCCTGATGGATGTAACGGGGTATATTAATGTGTATAATATAATTATATGATGTATATATTATATCTGAATTTATATTAATGCACATAATGTAATTAATGTATTTTATTTTTAATTAATTTTTGGTTGCATACTTGGTAACCTTTTACCATTGCTAAACTTTTCCTGACTCTCATATTCACTATGAGGTCACAACCCCCAGTTTATGCAGCTGAACTATAGAATAAACCAAACCATTAACAGGACTAGGAGAGCCCACCGAAGTGCATCCTGTTTGTGGAAGGTTGACAGCAGTGTCTTATATTGAGCAAAAGAAAGAATGTGCTCAGGAAAGTAAAGACAGTGAGGTAGGTAATCAATACTCATCGGAATCCTACCTAACCTGGCAGCTAATCTCCAACTTGCTCCCTTGACGGTTGAGTGCCTATTACGTGGGCGCCATGACTCTAACACTTGGTACAACGCACACTGAACAAATGCAGCTCCCCCCCATGTAGCTAGCTCACTTTCTATCATTAGTGCTAATTCCTCGTCAGCAAGACTCTTCACTCCCAGGACCGGAGACTACGCACCCATACTGTACACTGGTAGTCTCGGGACCTCAAAAAGAAATGTAAACCTCTCTGGGGAGAAGTGAAGCAGACACAGCACTTCTGAATTCAAAGCGTGGGTAGCTCACTCCAGTGTGGCTGGGGAAGAAACTTAAGATGGGCAGATTTTCAGGCCGTGGCTCAAGAGTATGAGCTCAAAACCAAGATGAGGAGCTGGCAGTATGACCCTTGATGAGGATTCAAGTTAGCCTGGGGTACCCTTCTCTATTTTCCACTCCCAAACTGGAAGGAGCTTTGGGATCTTCCATAAATGTAGAGAAACTGGGGGCTTTCCAATCCTAGCCTGGGTCGGTAACTATTTCAAGACAACACCTAACAAGATGGCTTTGCATCTGGAAGGAGATGAGGGAAGACAGAAAGTAAAGTCACCTGGGCACACATGTGTCAGACGAGAGATATTCTGCAAGAAGCCCTTACAGAATAACACAGGCAATTAGAGGCATGGAATTTTCCTTAAAACACTAAACCTGATGTACAGATGAAGACAAAATTCTAACCGATAAGATGCCATCCTCTTCCTACAAAATAACAGCTCAAGGTAAGCGGATTAGTCTAGACTTGAGGGCAGAAAAAGTTATTAATATGAATCCTAAGACAGATTTTAAATTATTCAAAAATCCTTAGGTGTGTAAGCCTCAAAAGTCAGAGAATATTTTAAAATTCTCTGGACTTAGTTATGGAAAAAAGTTATTTTTCTCTGCATCATATTATATAAGGTCCCAGTGACTCCCATATTTCTGGATCAAATTTGCTGTAATAATTAGCCATTTACTATCTGTTGACTGTGTTTTATAGTTTGTAAAAAACAAACAAAAAATATTTCTTATAATTAGGTAGGGACTTTTCACATTGGTAAAAGAATCAGCATTTTTACATATGCCAATCCCAGAGGGGAAAATCTTCAGGCTTTAATCTAAAGAGAAGAAATATCACTGATACAAACGTCCCACTTTTGCTTAAGGCTGCACAGAACTGCTCATGGAACCAGGTTCCATCTGAGTTTCTAGCTGACCCTTGTGTGAAAAGTCAGCTTTGCTACTGACCAGTGCAAGGTGATGCACAGGCCCACTCCCTGCGGAAAATGCAAAATTTTCAGTGGGTGTTCTAAACAAGAAAGTCATGATAGTCATTAATTGCCTAGTCGCACTACAAACGGGCAGTCAAGGTCTGGTGGATACCGATTCACAAAGAGCTCTGACAGACGGCCCATGGCGGGCTTGGCCCCAAAGATTATGCATTTTATTTAGCTGCAGTTTCAATAAAGCAGTGAACTTACTGAATTGCTTATTTGCAATTCAGGTCAGAACACAAACCTGAGGAAAGCAGGGGTCTCTTCCTTCCTCTCTGCAGTTAACAGGACTAGCGCCTACTTCTCACAGGGTTGAGTCTAAAGCAGACATTGCCAATATCCCCTTCCCTTCTTTCGCTTACTCCATGTTAGCCAGCTTTTCGTGCCTGCATCCTTGAATAGAAAAGGTAATCTATAAGGAAATATGTTCTAACTGCACAGACCACTGTAGAGGGATGCTCAGCTGGAAAAGATTGAGCACTTATAACCAGAAAGAGACATGCTGCAATTGTGACAGGAAAGGGTTATCACTGACACTTCAAGATTAAACCCTTGTTTAAATAGTACCAGGTTTTAGCTATAGCTTTCCAGGTAGTACAGAATGTGAGCTTCTCTACAAATCTAGGGAGAAGGAATAGCAAGAGGTATATAAAAAGGGTAATAATAATAAGAGTGGAGATGTATGTATGTATGTATGTATGTATATCCAGATAGATAGATAGATAGATAGATAGATAGATAGATAGATAGATGCATGCAGAAAAACATATATACAGGCATTTCTAAAGACATTTGTTTCCAAAGTCAAATCTCGACCACAGTACACAATCAGTCCAAAACTCTTCTAGAACCTATTATAAACTGTATAATTAAAAATGCAAGTGATAAATGAAACCTAGTATTCTTCATGCATTAATTATTCCTATAATTCTGTCTCTTTCAAATCAACACTAAAATCATACCCAAATTACCATTAGGGGATAATACATTTTCCTTCTGGCATTTTCTTGTCCTCTTTTATACTCTGTGGACTAAGGAAAGCAAAATAAAGCAAACATCTAATTAAAAGCCTCCTATCACACAGCAAGATCAACTTTGCCTCCTTTCTCCAGCGTGGCAAGTGGATCCTGTAAGTTTTTTCAGTCCCACCGGAATCCTGCCACTCATGTTACAAGTTCTGACTAAAGCTGAAGTCAACTGTTTTCAAAGTCTGAAAAAAGTGACCAAAAAGAATGGGTTCCCCTCCCTTTAAAGGCTACGCCTTTACTTTTACTTCAGAAGGTTTGAGAGCAGCATGCACAGCCTACCTAGTAAAACACATGCAACAGGCAAAATATCAGATTTCTTTTTCCAGCTGTCCAGAACCCCATTAGAGCCTCTCACCCCCACTACTCTTATGCTATAATTAGGATGGCTTAGGGTTTATCTGGGCCTTTTTTCAAAGCCAGATTTCCTTCCTCAGTGCAGAAACGGCAGCTGTCTTTCGCAAGTACCCCGACAGCACCGGAATAGGTATTTTGATTTCCATTATAGTATAAGAATTACGAGTGTGAAGTAAAGAAAACATGCATGCATACACACACACACACACACTTTTCTCTCATAGTTTTTCAAAAACCGGGTCTTACCTGAAGACGGTCAGTCTGGTCTGGAATCTGGCTTGCTTCAAAGAATTTATCAAGCAGTGCCTCTCCTCCCTCGAAGCTGCTGTCCTCTTCCTTTGAAAGTCGGTCTGCTGGTGGTCGAGGGGTTTTGGAGTCTTGCTCTGCAGGAAGTGGGATACACACTTCTGTGTGGAAGTGGGAATCCCATCCAGGACCTGCTCCTGCCTCCGTGTGTGTAGACTCTTGTCCATAGCTCCCAGCTAAGGGTTGCCTAGTCGGTTCCTTGGGGAGGAGATCAAGAGTGCCTTTGGGGGCACTGTCTTTCAGCAGCTGCTTCTTGGCATTTGCCTTCATTCCGGGCCGCCTCGCCCTGGTGGGTCTCAGAGCTGCCTTCCTGCTGCCTGGGTACTTTGCGTCTGAGTGTTCCCCAGCCAGACTTTCCAAACCCTGCTTCACCTCTGCCTTATCTGAGCCCCCAGACAAGGGCTTCACCGATGCTTCCGTCTCTGCCTTATCCATGGTCTGTAGATAGTCCCTGGAGAATTCCTCTCCTGCTTCAGGGTTGTCTCTGGTTTCTCCCCGAATTCCTGAACAATCATTTTCAACAGCCTCAGAAGCAGTAGGGAGTGGAGCCCTCCCCGGTTCTGTCATCTTAGCCGTTCCATCCTGGTGAGGTCCCAAGGTAAGAGTCATTTCTGAATGCAGGGGTAACGGACTATGCCTGGAGGTTCCGCTGCTCCTGACCCCTACTTCCTGGGGTTGTGAGTGATAACTACAGAAGCCAGTGGCGACATTCATAGACCACATGCCACCTGACACCTGAGGCCCACAACCCATTTCACTGAAGAAATGCTCACACTCACCCTGACCACACTCATTGAATTCCATCTCTTCGTCATCGCTTTCTAATAAAAAAACTCGGTCAGTTCCCTGCAGGCTCCTTTGCCAAACCGCATTAGAGTAATCCGTCATAACATCGGAACATTCCAGATACTCCAGGTCATCATCTGAAAACTCCTCCGTGTAGGTTAGGGTTATCTCTGGACAAAGTTCGTAGTCACTGTCAGAGTCTTCGCTGGAAACCTGGGGTCCCGGCTGCATGTTGATGGAGTTGCTGTCACCTGGGTAAGGACACGGGGTTGCCTCCTGCAGTGGAAGACTGAAACTGATGTATTTCTGTGCTTTGGGGGTTTGATGACTAGGCGTGATACTCTTGTTAGATTCTTTGTATCCTAGGCCATCATCAGTTAATCCTGGCACAGTGGCATACGCTGTCCTGAACTGGGATACATCTTGTTTTTCAATAGTGTTATTTGAATTAACGGAATTTTCTTGCATGTTATCTGAATTGAAAGGCTCTGACCTTTGTCTTGTCTCTTTAACATATTGGGTATTTTCAGAATTGGAAGCACCAGAGTCACCACTGGCCACTATCCAGGGTGAACTCAAATGGTTGAATTTGTCGGGGGAGGAATCAGCTGACATACAAGCCCCTGGGGCCACACTGTCTTCTTTCTTACAAAGATTCCATTTCTCGTCCGTGTGATTTATGCTGTCTTCTTCACGTATCTCTGTTTCATGCTCACCAGCCACATCTCTGCCGCCTCCTAGATCAGAAGAGACCTGTGGGTCCTGCAGACACTGGACCTCAAGGGATGCCGAACAGCAGATCATCCCCACGCAGCTTCTTGCCGAGACCTGGTAAACAGCGGCGTCGCTCTGGGTACAGCTAGGAAGAAGATAAACAGGTAAGTGAGGGTGGGCTTGACCACCGACATTTGTCACATCTTGTTGTTGGAGAAAATGTCCAGTACAAAGAACACTAAGAAGGAATTGTTTTATAGCCTACTTTTTTATCTAGCTGTTTAAGTTAGCTTTAGTGCTCATGAATTTCAAAGAGCATTGTGTGTGTGTGAATTTTAAAGACATTGTATACTAGTAATAAAAGCATTCTACCACAACATTCTAAAACAGTACTGAAAACAGAGGCTCTTTTTAAAGACTATACCAAGAAGGCACATAGCTTAAAAAAATAATAATAATGTCTTACTTTTTTTGAGACTAATATAATTATGTCATTTCCACCTTCCGTTCTTCCCTCCAAGAAGTGGTGTTTCTTGGCAAGAAACTATAACATCATCACAGTGGGGTTGTACGTAGGAAGATTGGCACCATTTCCTCCCTAATATGACTAAAAAATCTAACGCACAGCCATGAGCTCCACTGGCTGGAAACCAGTGTCCACATGTCACCTTGACTAATGGATCAAGGCAGGTGTCCTGCTTTGGCCCAACAGGGAAGAACTCCGAATCGAGATGAGCTTGTACTCCCTGTTCCAAGAGGGACAGCGCTCCTATGACTCTTCTGTATTGATTGGAGTCACATGGAGCCTGCATCTGACATGTCTCCCCGACTCATTCCCTGCGTGGATCCTTCTGAAGGCCTTGCAGTCCCAATAATAGCTTGGTACCGTTGTATAAGGTATTTGGCTGTATTGTAATATGGCTGCTTGTGTACTGTGTATCTTTCAGCTTAGAGGCCATATATTCAGAAAGTGAAAGCTGGGTGTCTAGCCTGGGCTTGGATGAAATGCTTAGACTTTTCACAAACTGTTTCCTATGTAAAATATGTATGGTTACCTAATTCCAGAGGGGTGAGTTAGACAGTTAGATATAGTTCAAATACTGTGGTCTGAGTCCTTCACCCTCTCTGAGGGAAGCCCTTTGCCTTCTCGACCAACATATGCTCATGAGTCTTTCGATCATGGGAGCTTGGAGGGAAGGCTTGCTCACCTAGTCAGAAAGAACTTCAAGGATGCCTTGTTTGGGTGGTAACCAGCTTCTAGATGCATTGATCTTGGCTATGACCTACACTCTGCCTGGGATAGAAGCTTGGGGAGGTGAGCTTAAGGCAGCAGCCTATTTCACACACTTATTCAGATCTGGATGAAGCAGAAACTCTTTGCCAGAGTATTCTTCAAGAATGTGGAATGTCAAGGCCAAGTCACCCTTAGTTCCCCAGAGGTGTGTAGGAGCATCCTGACAACCACTGTGGTTCACATTTGTGACTCTAGCAGTGAGAAGGGTAAGACATTGGATGACAGAAAGTTCAAGGACACACTGGGCTATAGAATAGAGCCCATTTCAAACAAAACAAAGATGGAGGGAGAGAGAGGGATCCTGAGAACTCTATTTAAAATTCTTAAATCAAGGGCCTAAGAGACAGCTCAATAGCTAATAATATAGTCAGTCTGCTCTTCCAGAGGACCCAAGTTCAATCTCCAATACCCACATGGTGGCTCACAACCATCTGAAACTCCTCTGCAGGTACCAGGCACACACAAGGCACACAGTCACATATGGAAACAAAACACCCATACACATAAGACAAATAAGTAAAATTACTTAAAAATAAACATTGACTTTCATAAATCTCCATTTCTAGATGGAGGGATTAAAATACATTTTCGAAGATAGGCATCACTCTGATGTGAGCTACCAAGCCCTCTCACTGCTCCCCTTCCTTTCCCTCATCAGTTTGGTTCATGTCTCTCCAGCTAAATCCAAACTTTCACCCAATAAAAAGTGGCCTTTAAAGCAGCTTTACATTACACCCATCATTTCCTTCATGGACCTTTGCAATTAATTCCAGGAGTTCTGTCCTTCGTTACCAGTTTACAGGAAGCACCAGAGAACATTGTGGATGACAGGAAAATCCCAAGTCATTCAGATGCTCTAACCTGCTGATACCAGAGAAACCCTGAAGGTACCAGGAACAATGTGGAGAGAAGTGAAAAGAGATCAAGGCCAGGAGGTACACAGAGCCGCATGAGAACAAAGACGAGTCACGAGACCCAAGGAGAATCAGGTGTGGCGGCACACACGTGTAATCCTAGCATTCAGGAGGCTGAGGCATGAAGATTGCAGATTGAAAGCCACTCTTGTCTTCCTAGCAAGATTTTCTCTGAAAATACACTATGTATTAAGGAGAGAAAAAAATATAAATTTTTAAAGTAGAGACAGTAACTGTGTTGAAAATAAGTTAATAACTAAATTAAATATATCAGATTGTCATGATTTAGCTGAAAATAATTTTACAGCACATATTTTAATTGACATAAAAATTTCACTCCTCCCTCCATACATTGAGTGAAGAGAGAAAGGAAGTGGATTAACAGAACCAACTTTCTACTGGCTAATGAATGCTTTGAGTTTTGCTTTGTGGTTGATGTATCCTTGACCTTTATCTTTAAGCACCACACAGAAAAGGAGGAGAACACTGGTCAAAATACCAGAGTCTGTTGGGTGCTTCTACATTAAAACAGTTTAGTGACACCCCACATACAAAACTGGGGTGCAAATGAGTTAAGTAATTTCTCCAAAACGATGAAGGGAAGAAACCATAGAGCTGGAATAAGCTAGAGGAGCCTTCAGACTCTGAGGCCTAGGTCTGTGTATGCTTAGAGAAAACTGAGGAGACAGTGGGGTAGAGAGAAACATTGTATCAATGAACTATTTCGATCCAAATCCTTCACCCTAATCGGTCATGTAGCAATCTCCTAGGAACTACCTGTTGATACCTGGCATTATGTTAAGAACTGAAGAGAGCCAAGGAGCCATGAGAGATGCCCCATCCCCACCCCCTGCCCGGGCCACCTCAGAGAGGCATTCCATGCAAAGCTGTACCACACATTCTGGAATGGGAAAGGAAGCTCAAAGAAAGGGTGTCAGTGGTAGCCAACTAAAACCATGTAAGGCCAGCGGGATGTAGAAACTTATAAAGATGCTGACAGAGAGACCTATGGGTCTCACAGTGGTTCCTACTTAAATCCGCCAAGAAGGAGCTCCCTGAACAATTCATCAATTGAGTTTCATCCTGTGGGCCCTTCCTTTTGGTGAGAGAGACAGCAGCAATCTTCCACTCTGTTGGAAAGCTGTTGGGTTGGTTTTTTCTTTTTGTCTTTTTTTTTTTTTGGTTTGTTTTTTGTTTTTTTGATTTTTTTGGTTTTTTTGAGACAGGGTTTCTCTGTGTAGCCCTGGCTGTCCTGGAACTCACTCTGTACACCAGGCTGGCCTTGAACTCAGAAATCTTCCTGCCTCTGCCTCCCAAGTGCTAGGATTAAACGGGTGCGCCACGATGGTTCTGCTTGTTGCAGCTTATTGCCATCTTGACTTGAATTCTCTTGGCTCTTTCTAAATTTATCATTTCCATATTAATGAAAAGAGGTCAAAAGTACTGTAACTAGATGGGCTTCTAGGTTTGTGCCCCCAGAACTGTACCATAGTGGAGATGGTGAAACCATTTTGGTATCGAGATTCCTTTATACATTTCAAATCAACTGAGGATACCAAAGTACCTTGTTAACATTACATCAAAACCAAAAGACAAAATTCAAATATTTATTTATTTAATCCAAAATTAATCCATCATACCTTAGCGTATATAGGATATTTATTTTAAAACTAAGCACATTTTCCAAACAAAGTAAAATTTTCTGAAGGACATTGTTTTACACTTTCCCAGGTATCTTTAACATGAGACTTAATAAAAGACAGCTGGAGATTTGGCTCTGGGTCTGCAGCCAGTGTGATGCAATACACTGTTTTAGTAGGTGAAGAGAATCTGCCCTCACACAGGCACACATGGGAAGAATGCCAGGAGAGAGAGAGACACAGACACAGAGAGCTTAAGGAGCAAGAATATCTGAGGAAATCGAAATGTTCTAGTTCAGAAAGGTGCTGAATACTAAGTGGAAAGGGTAGGATTTTATCACCAGTCACAGACACTTTTAGCTTTCCTTGAAACAGTAGGTTTACTTTGTCCATCCTCCACCCCCCCACACCCTGAGGAAATATCTGCCAAACATCATTTGTCTATTTCTTTAAGTGTGCATGTGCTTGTGTGTGGGGGGGTGGTGGTGGTACAGGCGTGTAGAGGTCAGAGAAAGCCCTTGTCTTCCACACTGTTTGAAACAGGGTCTCTTGTTGATCATTGTGGTGTAGGCTAGCTGGCCTGCAGGCTTCCAGAGATGCCTGTACCCACCACTCGTTTTTCTGTAGGCCCACTGGGGTTAGATGTGGGGTTACTCTGTCACCTTCGTGTAGATGCCTGAGGCACTGGAGTCAGGTCTTCACACTTGTGCAAGTGTTTTATCCACTGAGCAACACACACCCCAGCCCCTGATCTTTTTTTTTTTTTTAAGTAAAAATCAAACTCTGTAAAAACAAGTGTCTAGTTTAGCTTGCAGGTTAGATAATAATACACATGCTTTTGGTCATTACAGAGGCGAGTCGGGCAGTGGTTTTGTGAGTATGAATTCTGTCTGTTAAGATAATTACTAAGGGGCTTCTTACTGAGTTATTAAAATCTGATAAAATTGGTTGGGTTTTACGTGTTCACAAAAGTCAGTGTTAAATAATACTCTGTTGGCTTTGACCACAACTGTATGGCAGGAAAGAATTCTACAGCAGCAAATACAGCTTGGGATTGATGACTTGACTGGTCTCAGAGGCATCAGCCAAATTATCTGTGTATAAGTCAGAACACTGAAAAGGGCAAATAATGTGTATACACGCGTTTAAACATGTATATTGTTTTATATGCATTTAAATATATGTACTGTGTGTGTGTGTATATATATGTGTGTGTGTGTGTGTGTATGTATAATGTGTGTAAATACATATACACATATACATACACATATACACATATACATCCTGACCAGGCTGG